CAAGTTTGAAGGACGCGCAAAGCACCGCTGCCGACCACCTGCATGAGTCGCAGGCTTCAAGGCCAACACCGGGGACGTCCCAGAGAGGGGTGTCCAGAAGGGGGGTCGCAAATCATGGCCCGAGGCATGTGCGCGGCCCAGGAGGGGGGACAGTGGACGTACTGAAACAAGAAAAGCGCCATGAAATCTGAGGAGATATGATGCGCCTGTTTTCCACCACCACCACCACCACCATCATAAGTTGGAGGGGGAGAGTGTCCTCCTCCTCCTCCTCCTCCTCCTCCTCCTCCTCCTCCTCCTCCTCCTCCTCCTCCTCCCCCTATTCCTCCTCCTCCTCCTCCTCCTCCTCCTCCTCCTCCTCCTCTCCTCTTCGTCCTCCTCCTCCTCCACCTCCTTCCCCCTCCAACTTATGGTGGTGGTGGAAAACAGGCCCATCAAGACATCATGACCCCGTCCATGATATCCGCCCCTCCCCAGGCATCACCTTCGGGCTTGGCCGCCCCCGCCAACACGGTCCGCGCAGCTGCTTGCCCGGGCACTTAGCCCGAATATCCTCCTCCAGAGCACGTGACGGTCGTTCGAAACCCCGTCGCAAGGTGGCTGGCCATCGCTCGGACGTCCATTCCCTGTGTTTTTTTCGGTTTCGTGCGTGGTGTTTTCGCCAAATGATCAAGGATGCTCCTCGATAGTCCTCGCCGAAGGAAAAATGCACACGTCCGAGATGCCAAGGTGGGTGCTTCTCAGTCCTCGGGGGGCGTGTCGCCGCTCTGGTGGCCCCTGGCAGGCCTGTGCTCTGGGCGAGCCCGCAGGCGCCTGGACGAGTGCGCAGTCCTACCGGAGACCTGGAACGACGCTGCCCGCTCGCCACGGGCGATTGGGTGCTGAGGGGATGGGGGCAGCGGGAGTCGGGCCGGGCCCGCTGGAAGCCCTCCCTGGCTCTCAAACCCTCCCCTGCCCACATTTGCTCTCACCTTGAGTGCGGCCCCAGCCTCCAGGTGGACGCATCCTGACCCGCCATGATCATCATCATCATCATCATCATCATCATCATCATCATCATCATCATCATCATCATCATCATCATCATCATCATCATCATCATCATCATCATCATCATCATCATCAGCATGACCACCACCATCATCATCATCATCATCATCATCATCATCATCATCATCATCATCAGCATCATCATCATCATCCTTCTCGTCCTCCTCGTCGTCGTTACACTCATCACAACCACCAGCATCAGCATCATCAACATCATCATCAGCAGCATCATCATCTTCATCAGCATCAGCATCAGCATCAGCATCATCATCATCAAAACCATCATAGCCATCAGCATCATCCACGTCATGGACATAAGCATCAGCAGCATCATCATCATCATCATCGCAACCATCATCAGCATCCTCGTCAACATCATCATCAGCATCATCATAATCCTCGTCATCATCATCACCACCACCATCAGCATCGTCACAATCGGCATCATCAACAACATCATCATCATCCAAATCCGAATACGCATCCTCATCCTCATCATCATCATCATTATCTTCCTTCTCCTCCTCCTCATCATCATCATCATCAGCATCGGAATCGTCATCGTCAGTACAACCACCACCATCACCATCAGCAGCATAATCAGGAACATCATCATATTAATCAAGATCCGCACCCTTACCCTCGTCCTCGCCATAGTCATCTCCATCATCCTCGTCATCACCAGCAGAATCGTCATCATCAACATCGTGATCGTCGTCGTAGTTGTCGTCGTCGTCATCATCAACATCTTCCTCCTCATCGCCACTATCGGTATCGTTCCCGTTGGCGTCATCACTAGTTGAATCATCAGCATTGTCGCCCCCCTGATTCACCTAACCATCATCTTTAACCTCGGCGCCGTCGTCACACGCATCGACAATACACATCATCGGCATCCTCATTCAAAAAGTACGTAGTCGTCGTTAACATGCACGTGCACCTCATGCGCATCAGCATCAACAACAGCAATGACAAGAGTAACACTAATCATCATCATCAGCAGCATCATCAGCAGCAGCATTATCATCATGATAATCATCATCAGCATCATCAACATCATCATCGTCGTCATCATCATCAGCATCCTCGTCGTCATCATCATCCTCGTTGTCGTCGTCGTCATTTCTGCCCCGTCACCCTCGTCGATGTCATCGTCGGCAGGCGCAGTTGCGTCGACATCACTGCCAATATTTGTCAGCACCGCCATGATCACCCGACACGCGCCACCACCATCACTGAAGGGGTCCCGGGACACACAAACAAATAGACACAAATGACAGGATTCCACATATTTCCACATATTTTCTGTTTTCTGTGTCTTCCCCACCACTTCCCATTTTTTTCCATATTTTCTGGGGAATCGACGATTTATTGTGTCTGTGTGTTCTCTCCCTCCTGAATCACCATCACCATCATAATGACACCCCTCCACGCCTCGTACGTGGTCACGTTCGCGACCATGTACGCAGTCTGCCGCACCTGCGGCGACGCGGGAGGAGGACAGAGAGAGAGAAGGCAGAAGCAGCCAGCCGAGTCGCTGGATCCTTCCGGGCATAGCCCCTGGCCGAAGGCCTTGCGCTCGTCACGGCCTTGGCTGGTTGTCCCCGACCCTGAGGAGGGCGTGGGCTAGTAGAGCATCTCTGGGTATACATGGGGTATACAGTCAACCAATATAGTAAGGATGCACGATAAGGATGCGAGGGCCTTGGACGCCCATTTCGAAGCTGTTGGAGCGGGGCGCGGCAAGAAAAAGCGGCGAAGGATGGACCGAGGAGGCAAGGATGCAAGGGTACCCTTGGAAAGGTTGCCCATCCTTACTATGCGGAGTATGTACATGGGAGGGCAACTCTTCAGAGATGCCCCGCGTCAACGACGATCGGCACGTCAACTCGATACGTCATCTCGGTTCGTCAGTCCGCATCAGTACGTCAACTCGGTACGTCAACTCGGTACGTCAACTCGGTACGTCATATCGGTGCGTCAACTTGGGTCCAGAGTGCACTCTACAGAGAACACTCCTCGAGAGAGGTCGAAAGAGGGAGGGAACCCCTGCCACCGAGAGGTACAAAAATGTATACAGAATTAGCGTTTTGTTTGTCCCGACGAGCCATTTTCAATCCTGCATCCAGGGGCGATCAGAGGGCAATCATAAGAAGATTCTCGATCTGTCACCTCCGATGGAAGAGCTCATCCATCACCACCGCTCTGGGAAGCGAGCTCCAAGGACCTCTGGACTCAGGAGGTACTGGACACGTGTAATGTGATTATCTGGCCCGCTCGGGGCGTTTCAGCTACCGCCAAAACGCTCTCGGCGAGCCGCCGCTGGTTGAGAAGATCCAGAGGCCGGAACACCGCCGAGAGCAGACGAAACCGCCCGAAAGCCTCGAGACTCGAAGCCTCGAAACCGCAACGTTCCTCCCTGAAACCATCCTCCCCTACAGCTGCCCCTGGTTGGGAACCAACCAAAAAAACACCACCAGGGACCACGAGCGGGAGGAGCCCAGGGGGGTCCCCTGGTGGTGTGGTCCCCCTCCCTCGCTCGAGACATCCCCTATCCCCAGCTCCAAGGGGCGTCGTGGACCTCCTCGCTGGAGAGGTGGCCCCCATAGTGGTGTTGGTGTTGCTTCTCCTTCCCCCGACTGGTCTAGAAGAAAACAAAACGCCATCAACACACACACACACAATTTTGGCGTTCCGCGCGGATTTCTTGGATCCGCGCTGGACCCCCCTCCCTGGCTGCCGCGCGGAGCGCGCCAGGGGAGGCGCCGGAGGCGCCGCCAGGGGGGTCCAGCGCGGATCCAAGAAATCCGCGCGGAGCGCCAAAAGTTTATGTTTACACTCGACCAAGATAGTAAGGATGCCCAATAAGGATACAAGGGCCTTGGAACGCCATGTCGATGTTTTCCGTGCGGAGCGCAGCAGAATGCCGAAGGATGCCGAATACCGAAGGGGCAAGGATGCAAGGGTAGCCTTGGAAAGTTACCCCATCCTTACTTACTATCATGGTTGACTGTATGGCGTTTCTCGTCTGCGATGGTCCCCAACTGGCGCTGCCCGCGCGGGGGGCGGCTGCGAGCCAGCAGCATGGCGGCAAAGCCGCCGAACACGGCGTCCAGCGCCAGCACGACGAGCAGCCCCATGAGAGGCACGGCCTCGGGGCGGGGTTCGATGATCCTCAGTGCTGATCCAGGAGGTACTTCCTCCTCCTCCTCCTCCTCCTCCTCCTCCGCCTCCCCCTCCTGCTGGCGCCAACGAGTGCTGATCCAACGACGCCCTTCAACACGAGCTGTCGGCGGAGCTGAGAGGGGCAGGCACACATTGGGCCAACACACACTCCGGGAATCATTCAGAGGTGAGGGGCAGCCTTCGAGGGTTCAGGGGGGGAACACCGAGCTGAGATCGGCGGCACATCGCCGATGTGTCGGCGGTACAGGGCAGTCGTTAGTACATGGGATTAAAAAATGCAGTATTTAGTACATGGGATTATATATATGTTACAGGATATGAATAAATTTATGCATGAACTTATCGTTGTTGTTTATACATGATATGAATAAATCCCTGCATTTGAAATACATGATCCGCACGCGGAGCATGTATAGAAAAACGGCACTGTAAGCTCCCAGTAGCGAATCCGCACTTTACTGGGCATGAATGGGCGAGGGAGGGTCAATGCCCAACGTCGCCTCTGAGGGGGGGGGCAAGCGGGCACGCTCCTCTCTGCTGCAGCGGGCCCGGGAGGAGGAGGAGGACGACGACGACGGCGATCGATCGAGCAGTCGGGCCAAATTCGAAGATACTCCGATGCGACACGACGAAGACGAGGACGAGGAGGAGGAGGAGGAAGACGACGAGGGGGCTGCTCATGCCCGCCAGCGGTTGGCGGTGGAGGGGGTCGGAGGATCGCGAAGACTCCTGGTGCATCGGCGACGGCGGGGTGGAGAAGGACGGGCTCAAGCTCGCGCCGCATCGCCGATACTTAGACGATGCAGCGCGATCATCCAGCCCCGTGCACTCCGACACCAGCTGGGCAGCCTGAGCTTCCATCGTCATCCCCCTCGCTCTCCTAAAGCTCAGAAGCAAATCACCAGCCACGCAAGCACGACTGACATTAAAGGACGCAGAAAGAAGATGGGATGCCCGGCGCACTGTAGAGCATACCAACCGTTCAGTGGGTAGAGGCATGAAGTAGGAAGCGCTGGCAGTATATTGGACCTTCTCCCGCCCTCCGAAGGCGAAGGAAAGGGGAAAACCACTCGAGTCTTGAAGTAGGAACCTAAGGTGATTTTCGGAATCTGGGGATCACATATTACAGTAGGAGCTCGACCGCAAGAAACCTTCCACGCGAAACTCAACCTGAAGCCCCCAGGAGCTCCAATGGTTTTTGGTATGGGATCGTGACGCTCTGCATAGGAAAAAACATCAGAATCCAAGAAGCCCACGTCACCCTACAGGCAAGCAGGGTGTTTCTTGGCATGGGTTTCCACTGTACAAACTCTATACGACCGATGGGTACCCTCATTCCAAAATCCCCTGTTCTTCGGGGGCCCAAAATCCGTGTGGTGACAGACCACGCGGTGACTTCGGAATCAGACCTGTCGGCGCGTTTCATTAGGTCTTGGGACCTCGGAGGCACTGGTCGCCCGAGACGTCCTCGGAGAACGACCCAAGAGCCAAAATCGTGCGGTGACCCCGAATCCACACTGACTCACCACACCGAACCTCCTCCGAATGATCTAGCTTCCGGGCCACACCTCGGGTCTCTGGCGACCGGCTGGGACAATCTGGGCACCCCCAGGACGCTCTCGGCGAAGCGCAGCTGCCGGAACGCACCCCGAGGTCGGACAAAAACCCTCCAGGTCCGACGGGAGCGTCCGAATCCTGCATCCCCACCTCGCCATCGCTCGGACGTCCATTCCCTGTGTTTTTGTTCGGTTTCGTGCGTGGCTTCTTCGCCAAATGATCAAGGATGTTCCTCGATGGTTCTCACGGAAGGAAAAATGCACACGTCCGAGCGATGCCAAGCCACTGACTCACCACGGGATGTGGTCACCACATCGTTTGGGTGGGGCTCGATCTCTCTCCACCTCGTGCCCGGCTCGGGCTGGGCCAGTCTTGGCAGCGCGCAGAGGGGGGTACAGTCAAAAACCCTAATAAGGACGCGCGGTAAGAACGCAAGACCCTTGGAAGCCGAAGTTGGGATTTTTTGGGAGGCGGACGACGAAACCCTCAAGGACGCAAGAGCAAGGAAGAGCAAGGACGCAAGGGGTACCCTGAGCAAAGTCGCGCGTCCTTATTAGGGTTTTTGACTGTAGGGGGAGGGGGGAAGGCTCCTTACTTGAAGGAGGCTGCGTCTTAGAAGGCGCCGGCCTTACTCGGAAGCTGGGCGAAGGCTGGCAAATCCGTGGCTGGAAAAAAAAAACAAGTCCCTGTAATACAACTCAGCGCACTATATAGTGAACAGGCTGCTTCCCGGAAGAGAAAAACAATTTCCCAGAGCGCCATTTTAGCAGCCACGGGTTTGCCAGCCGTCGCCAGGCTTCTAACTGGCATCTATGGAGAAGGCCCGCGCCTTCTGAAAAGCAGGGGTGCTGCTAAGAAGCCTTCCCCGCTCCTCCTACCCCCCTTTGCGCATGGCCGACACTCCTGGTGCGGAGCGGCGCACCCGTGGGAGCCCAGCCTAGGGAGCGGGCAGCGGAGGCGGCCACGAAGAGAGCGGCGGAGGAGGCGGCCTCCGAAAGATGTTGCATGCGCGGCTAGGGGAACAACCAATGACATACACATATAAAAACTCAGAGATCCGCGCGGATTTCTTGGATCGGCGCTGGGGCCCACTGGCGGCGTCTCCAGCGCCTCCCCTGGCGCGCTCCGCGCGCCAGGGAGGGGGGCCCAGCGCCGATCCGAGAAATCAGCGCGCACCTCCGAGTTTGTATGTTTATGCCATTGGTTGCTCCCCTAGCGTTAGGTCGGGCGTGTCCTCCTACAGGCGGATGTTGGACGAAAGATAAAACATACTCAAAAATCGTCCACTGGCTACGTTTTTTGTACTATTTTTGAATCTTCCTCCTGTAGAAGGGCAGGCCCGACTTGACCCTAGTGGCCGCCCTCCTCTGCCTCCCGCCTGCCCGCGCACACCCGCTCAGGCTGCGGACGCGGTGCGCGCTCGCCACCGACGCGACTGCAAAGGCCCGGGCCCGGAGTGCCCCCTCGGCGCCGCCACCAGACGAGGACAACAGGTCCACGCGAATCCTCGAGTCTGCTCCGGGGACCCCCCATCCCTGGGGCGCCGTCGGCGCCCCCCCTGCTCTGGCCGGGGGCGGCGCCAGAGGCGCCGCCAGGGGGGGGCCCAGCGCAGCTGCGAGACATCCGCGAGGACCGTCGACAGCATGTGCGTATGCCGCCCCTTTGCCCTCGAGCCACGGCCGAGAGCTCCCTCGGCTTGAGCCCGAGGCTCGCGCCTCGAGTAGGGGGCCACATGCGAACCCTACACCTACCCCCCACGATTTCTGAGGGGGAGGGTGGGGTTCACTTCGTTCGAGAGCTCCCGAGCTAAGTGAACCCCACCATCCCCCTCCGAAATGGTGGAGGATATAGGGGGTAGGGTTCGCATGAAGCCCCCTATCGAGGCCCCGGCGGGTCTGCGAGCAGGGCGGCAAGCCGTGGCGCCAGGCGTGCCGGCAGGCTCGGCCGCACCACGTGGGCCGGGCCCTCTGCGGGGCCGAGGGCCGCGTCGGGGCCGAGGGCACCACGGGGTGGAGCGGCCGGTCGTAGGACCACGGCAGGCCTTCGGGGCTTGAGCCGCCGAGCCCTGCTCGTCTCGCTCCTCCTCCTCCTCCTCCTCCTCCTCCTCCTCCTCCTCCTCTCCTCCTCCTCCTCCTCCTCCCTCCTCCTCCCCTCCTCCTCTCCCTCCTCCTCCTCCTCCTCCTCCTCCTCCTCCTGCTCCTCCTCCTCCTCTCCTCCTCCTCCTCCTCCTCCTCCTCCTCCTCCTCCTCCTCCCCTCCTCCCCTCCCCCTCCTCCTCCTCCTCCTCCTCCTCCTCCTCCTCCTCCTCCTCCTCCTCCTCCTCCTCCTCCTCCTCCCCGTTCCCCTCATCCTTGTCTGTCTCGTTCCGACTGTCAGATTCGTCAGTCGTTCAATACTTTTCTCGTTATAGCACCTCCGCCTGCTCCTGTTTCTCCTCCTCCTCCTCCTCCTCCTCATCCACCTCCTCCTAACCATCACACGCAACCACCATCACAATCTCCATCTCCATCGTCGTCGTCGAACTCGCCCTCTTCCTGGTCGTCATTATCAACCGTTTCTGCCTCCTCTCGTCCCTCTTGGTCCAGCTCCTTTTCAACCCCCCTTTTCCCTCACCGTCTTATCAGCATCATAATCATCACCACCACAACCATAAGCATCAGCATCAGCATCAGCATCAGCATCAGCATCATCATCATCAGCATCATCAACATCATCAACAACATCAACATCATTATCACCATCAACAGCATCATCAGTTGCATCAGCATCCTCATCATCGTATGAAATCATCATCATCGTCATGATCGTCATGATCATCATCACCATCATTACGATCATCGTCATCATCATCAGCATCATCATCATCAACATCATCATCTTCATGAGTATCATCATCATGGTCAAAATAAACATCAGCATTATCATCGTCATCATCGTCATACTCACAACCGCGATCATCATCACTGCACCATCAGTATCACCACTGCCACCCACCACCATCGTCGTCATCATCAGCAGCATCATCAGCGTCAGCATCATCATCATCATCAGCATCATCATCATCGTCATCATTATCACCGCCACCACCTCCAACATCAGCATCGCCATCATCAGCATCATCAGCATCATCAGCACCAACATTAGCAACATCATCATCATCATCATCATCATCGTCATCATCAACATCATCATCAGCATCATCATCATCACCATCAGCATCAACAACATCACCATCAATATCATCATCATCTTAATCCGCAGCATCACCACCATGAGCATCACCGTCACAATCATCAGCATCGTCATCATCCTCAGCATCGTCCTCCCCGCAAGCCTATTGCATGCTATCCATCCACAATCTTCACAAGATGTTTTGCCCCCGTCGTCGTGCTCCTTCGCCCTCGCCCTCAGAACGCCTATTCCACAAATTGGCCCCCTTCCCTCATCCCTCTCCCACTTGCTTATGCGTCTCATCCTAATCCCCATCATCAATGTCGTCCTCGTCGTCCCTCTCTTCACGGGATCCGTCCTGCCCTCGTCAACATGACTGTCCTTGTCGTCATCCCCCTTCTGCTCGACTCCTTCCCAGACGTTCAAAACACTATATGCAGAATCGTGCCCTTCTCCTCGCCACTATCTTTCTCCTCAACTCCTGCCCACCGCGATTGATTCCCCTGGAATCCAGGAAGCAAGAAGGTTCAGGTGCTGGCTGTGGGGGTCACCGAAAAGTGCCTGAAACTTGCTGGTAAATCATGACGTGCCATCGACCTTATTCCAATGTTGCAGCATTCGACTACCTGGATGAACTGTTTTTCAGCATCCCCAGACGGAGGAGATCCACCGACCAGCGGACGAAGAAGAGAGCAAAGGTCACAATCCGATCTCGGCGATCGCGGTGTCCCAATATGTGTCGTGGTCACGTGCGGGCATCACCCAGAAAGTCACAAGATGCAACGGGTAGAATCAAACACACACACACACACACTCAGTCAGGGCACAAGCGCTTCATACTGCTTGGACGTCTGTCGCCCTGCCTGGCCAGACCTCGCTGCGCTGGCCGACCGTCCAGTCGCTGGAGAGGGGGGGGGGGGGGGCTGAGGTGGATGAGGCGGCAGAGGGGGACAGGCAAGCAAGGATAGCGTTCTCCCCCCGCCCCCCCCCCCCCCCTCCCCCAACATCGTCAACCTTATTAGCATCAGTACCCTCAT